GCGAGCATAATTATCGTGACTGTTTGACCAGGCGCAGTTTCGAAAAAAAATATTTTAATGATGCCTCGCGTCCGCAATTCGAACCAAACTGTGATACATTGATTTCTCAACAATCATTTCTGAAATTTCTGAACAAAAAATGCAAAAATTTGCGAATTTGCCAAGCAATCAAGATGGAATTGAAGACCAAATTGAAATCTTATGTGAATTTTGGGACAACCTTTCGGACACATACATGATATTGCATAAAGTAAAGGTCGACTCTTAAAGTTTACCGCCATCTATCGATAACTCGTCACATGATTCTAACGATGTTTCGACGACATGGTAAAGGCCAAATTGCAAAAGTTTTTTAAGCTCAACCGCGCATCTTATTCGCTACTAGCTGCTGATGACATGCCGTTGCCGTTGCCGTTGCCTTCTCAAAACAGTGCACTGGAATGTGTAGAGATATCTTTTTTAATCATCTTGCGGTCGTGACGACTACATGCACCCAATTTGCGAAATATGGAATGGCGAATAATAAATGGCACTGTTCGGACAGACAAACAGGTTATCATTGAGAGATTGCAAGACCGCACAGGTATATAAAGGGCTGTTCACTGTATTAATTTTGAATAAATGATCATTACATCTCGTGTAATTAAACATCAACATGTTAGTAAGGCAAATAATGTCACATCTGAGTCCGCAATTGATAAATTAAGGAGCTTTATTTGTTTGTGGAAATAAAGAGTATAAACGAAAGGAAAAAGATATGATTGTAAAGCGAATAAGAGAGATTTACTGTCTGGCACTGTAAGGAATTTCTTTTGAGGTTGAGTACTCGCTAAGCGGATGGCTTCTAGGATCACAAGACATTCATCCGAAAATACAGTGCCATATGGAAATGGAAATATAAAAACCCCATTTGGAATGACGAGAATAACAGACCTTACCTAGAATGGCTGAAAGCCCAGGTTCCCACAACAAATGCTCTCAATATTCTCTCGCTTAACTTGCAGGTGGAGGACATCTCTGCATTTTCATTGGAAGAACTTTTACATATCCTTAAATCAAAAAAGAAATCTGCAGCAGCGGGTCATGGTGGTATTAAATACGAAATGGTAAAGGTTCTTTCCACTTCAATGCTTTCAACTCTGTTAGCTGCGATAAATGATCGCTGGACGACTAATATGACATGATGACATTTCGAGCTTCTCAGTTATAGAGTATCCAAATTTACTTTTGGGAAAATTCAAAGTTCTGCAAGAGTGATTATCCATCTTCATTGAACTTCTGGCTATCAGACAGGCAATCCTCTTCACGATTCTTTTTAAATTATATTCTCAAAAACGACAAGAAAAGATAGAAAGCGAAATGAAAAAAAAATAGAAAGGACAATAAGTAATAATCGTAAAACTATTTTATTTACAACCAAATTATAAATAAAATTATAACAAATTATAGTTTATAAATAAATTAAACATAAATTAAAGAAGACTTCTGTGAAGAGAAGAGCCATAGGAAAGTTGCGGTGAATAAGGGTGACAACTTGGGAAATACCCCTTTTGCAGCTTTTGATCGACGACGTTATTAAAAAAAAAACAAAATAAAATGATTACAAATATAGCAAATTGCAAATAATATAGCGATCAAATTAAAAGTAAAAACCAAAAATTTCAGTCCTTTTTCTCAACAAGCTGCCCAATTATAAGCAATAATTCACCAGTCATCGTTAGGGGCACGATAAGTTTCATTATCGCTTCGTATGGTTTGAACAACATCTCGATAATATGGTAGAATATAATAAGAGCCATCTGCGGATCGTACAATTTGTAAGGCAACCAAAGTAATATCAACTAATTGGCCAATAAAGAAATCGCCCAATATGCTGACTTTTAATACACCTATTCGTAAATACGGAAAGTAACACAACGGTATCCAAATGATAGCCATTACCGAAATTATAAAAAAAATAGTCTAGTTGTGTCAAACTGAAAAATAATCCGTTAAAGTTGTATCAGAATAAAAAGTATCTCCAATTTGATTTGTTTCGATTTTGATATCTTGAGTATTAAATTCTTCTTCATTATGATTAAAGTAAAGTTCAAATATTGTTGGAAGTACAGACTGACGTTGGCGAATAAATCTGACGAAGGGCATCAGCATAAAAGTTTTTTTAAATTTTTTCTCCGTATTATTATTAGCTTTTTTTGTTCTTCTCTGCTGTCGTTTTTGTGTTTATTTCTTCGTCGTAGGTTCTCCACTTTTCATCACTAAACGTTGAAGGAATGGCTTTTCCAAAGCTCTGAGTCCACTCAAAAATTGCAAAGCCGACCATAAATGATGAAATTCTGAATATTCGTCAATATGAATAACGCCATTGAATTATGAAACACCAATTTTAAAGAATTCTTCTTTATAGTTTCTTTCATTTAGCCGTCATATAAGTCACAAAAAATTGGCGGCACACAGCAACAAGTACGTGCGCCGCCATACTTGTATGCACTTGTATGTACTTGTTGTTGTTATATTAGCCATCGCTAAACTTTTAACTAATTTTATACAGCTAAATAATAATAGATCAGATTTTTATTTAATATTTTTGAGTAAATTTTGTTCAGTTCCTTGAATGAAATCACTGCTATTTGCTGTTGTTTCGTTAATTTCCGAATAATCTGTTAATTTAAATGATTGCGACGATCAAGTAAAGTATATAAGAAAAGGATCATATATGAAGAGAGCCCAGAGTTGCTTTTCTATAAATATGAATAATGGTGAAAATAAAATCTCACTACTTTTTGCATGAATTTCGTTTAATTTCTTGATTGAAACATCGTGAATAATGATGATCTTAATGATCGTACAACATCAACTTGAATAACAATTTTTATATTTGATAATTTTATTTGCCAAAAAAAAGTTTAAAATGAAAAATTTATTAAAATATGAATCTGTAATGCATCTAAATAACTATCCTTTTTTCTTTTTTGTACTACTTTGATTTACATCTCTTCCGATAGTTCATATTGACGGCATACAACAACAACAACAATATATACAATATATACAACAGCGCAAGTGCGCCGCCATACTTGTACACATGTACTATATATCCCATATGCATATACAAGTTACAGTTATGCAGAAAAACTCTGAATATTAGAACGAAAAAGGTTTTATTCAATTTCGAAAAGGCACAAGCAAACACACATTGGTAAAGAAGGAACGCAATGGACAACACTAACATAATAACAATAGCTATGTTTTGTTAATTTATTAAAATTTATATTAATATTTTTTTTTCTTAAAAGTGAATAACTTGTTGATATTTTTATTTTAAATATATTTATTCTTTTCTACTTTAGTGGCAACACTAAACAGTGGTCACTTTGGAGAATTGTTGCGGCACACCAGATAGGTCCAATTGTCAAAATCCTGCAACAACTTCCTCTTTAAATAAGAAAAATATTTAAAATAAATGTGTTTTCATTTTAATGATAATTGTGTTTAATATTTACGATATATAAAGTATTGCAAAGTATGATTTTTATGATTTGTTTACAATTGAGAATAATTCAAAGACTCACTCTGTATTTGTTTACAATTGACGATAATTGAAAAAGTTAGTCTGTATTCGTTGACAACCGCCTGTTGCATTGACAAAAACGATGGTAGACGTGAAGGTGTTCAATTTTTTTCATTCTTAACATGAACCAAAGCAAGCGGACAAATTTGAAAATTAAATTTTTCCGAGGTGTTCATGTGGCTGAGAATCCCTGCAGAACGTCTAACTATTAACATCGTAATATGGATGAATAAATTCAATATTTAATATTTTCAATAATTATTCCCTTTCCCACGCTAATTACGGAGCGCTCAAAATTGCATTTTGAAATTTTATTACTTTCGTTGTTTAATTTGAAGAAATTTTCTGTCGAAGCCCACCAGACACGTTTAGAATCTTGTTGTGATGTTGCTCCATCATACCAATTGTCAATTTTGGTTTAATCAAGTTTAATATGGTTTTGAGCAGGACTATGTAAACATCATATTGGTGCTTTCCTCATTGTCTTCTGCATATTCTGTTGTTTTCTTTTTATGAAACTTGCCTACACCATCGCGATTAATTCACATTAATATTGTAGTTGGTTCACTTTATTGACCGCACTCTTGCTTTACTGGAATGACGTCGTTGTTCTCTGTAGTAGCACTACATTTTCTAGTCAGTTTTTGTCATTTTCCCTTCTTGCCATTTTTGACTTGCTCTTTTCTACATACATGCTATTGCGTGGAAGAATTTAGTTTAGATTGTGCCGGTTATTGTACGCTTTCAGCCGAATAATAATCTCCTTTCAGCCTTTTTAGACACCATTAAACCTGATTAAACTTGATTAAACTTTATAAACATTTGAAAAATTGACAGCCAAAAACCATATAAAACCTGACTAAACATCATTAAACTTAGAAAGTAGAAATAGCCGCCCGCCTCACTGAGTTTGTTCCGGAACATCACCCAAGTTTCGTTGGCGATGGAGCTCCGGTGCATTCCCTCCATGAACATGGCCTTCATGAAATCGTACGATGTGGCACACCCTCGTAGTTGTCGGTTAAGCCAGTTTTTATAGCCGACTGGACTGGAAGGTCGCGAACTTTGTCTCCCTCAAGAACTGCGCCATAATAGAGCGCGACCTCCATGGGGTGTTGTATTGCGGCATACAACCACTATGCGCCCAGTACAGTGAGCTGGACTCTTTCATCTTCGCAACCTTTTTAAGCAATATCAGTTTATACGGGCTATTTTTGTCACATCTGTATTTGTCTTATAATGCTGCCGCCAAGTGGGGGTAGTCGTATACTTGTCGTATATGGTGGGCGTCTGCTCGCTTCCTTTTGTACAACCTCACTGTCGAATTTGCGTCCGAGGATTTTTAGTTTTTCGGAGCCTCTCCTCCTCAATTAGTTTTGCAATCGTCTCCGCGGCCCGCGTATGTCCAATTGTTAAGTTTGCTTTACTTTGCAGTCGCTAGGATCCGAACCTAGGCGCCCAGAGCAAATCTGATTTCTGGTCAGACGTCTTAACCGCTCGGCCACGACTGCACGACTGGTTGACATGATCTATTCAAAGACTTAATGAAGTTGTATCAGAATGAGAAAAAACTTGTAATCAACTCGTCATCAACATGGATTTTTAAAATAATATTATTATTATTATTATAATTTTAGAATAATGAAATAAATTCTTAGACTAAAAGAAAAGACATTGAGCACTAGCAACACAGGCTATCGGCTCTAATTTAAATAAATGTACATTAGATAATGAGCTTAGTAGTGTTAATAAAGTAATATATAGAATAGATATTCGATTCTGAAGCTGATTTGAGAATGTCCAAAGGGTTAATCGTTCCAAATGCAATACTTCTAGCCAAGCAAAAGTTAAGGCAGTCGCAGAGAATGTTCTTTATAGTGAGAGTTTGTCCACAACTGCAGATTGGGGAGGAAGACTTCTTCAATATTCATTGGTGAGTTGCAATTGTATGACCAAGGCGAATTCTAAAAAATGTTTGGATCTTGGTTTTCTCAATATTTGTTGGATATAAAGGCGGAGTTAATTAAGGGTTCATGGAAGAGTAGTGTAGAAGATGGTATTGTAAATTTCCTTCTGCTATTTTCTCTTTAACTTTTCTTCCAATGTATCTTTGAAGAGCCAACTTTTCCATGACATCATCCATAATTAGAGGAGCAGAAGCACCATACTTTGCCGCTCGATCAGCCTGCTCATCTCCTAATAAACCGGTGTGACATAATACCCATAAAATTTTAATTTTTCCGTCGGGTGTTGTAATTATATTCCTTAATTTGTTGGTGGTGCTCCATCTCGAAGTCAAAGGATTCTGAATAGCATGTAATACAGACAAACTGTCGGTAACAATGACGGTTTTGAGTTTGTTTTTATGGTTATTGAGAAGAACCTGTTCTGTACCATCTACCACCTCGCAACCAGGAGGCAGACCAGAATATTTCGTCTGTGTATAAAAGATTCCAACCGGTAGTCTCAGTTGTATTTTCATAAGAAATAATCCAAAGAAGTTCTTTTGAAACCAAAAAAAGTTGAATTGTATTTAAAGTTTTATTGTATTTAATCTCGTCTATAATGCCGTGTCAGTTTTAAATCGGGGCTTTCGCTACATTTTATATCTTTTTGTTTTAAATAACTCAGAGATGAAAGCGTTTCTCGCCGCATGTCCTAACGAAAATATTAAAAACAGCATAATAGAGTAACAATAAAGGCATGCATGCCTATGCGTGAAGCGTATACCGTTTTCATTAATTTGTTGCAATAAGATTCAATTTGCACAGCTATTGTCCAGTTAGATTTTGGTTGTCTGTGACGAGATTCCAATTCATCTTGGTATTGCATTGTTTTTCATTCAATTTCTCGGTGTATGGGGGTTATGCCACGAATAGGCGTTTTCCCTTCGGCTTTTGATCATCCAGAATTAATGCAAACTGTGCGCCCTTAACTCATGATAAAAGCGCAAAATTCTTGATAATTGTATACTCTTATTCTCTCATGGCTTGCGGCAGTGAATATAATGCTACTATTACGGGCCATTGGATTTTCGGCTTTATTTATACGCCGTTCTTCAGTGTCCATGCCTCGCATATCTCTCTACCGAGCTATTGTATTGCTCTTGGTGACGTTGTGCACTTTTGCGTATTGGCTATTTTATTTAGTACCGGTATTTATCTCATAAAAACGTTGACTTCTTATACGTTATAAATTTACTTTCTCAAAGTTACAAGGTTACGAGTTAGATGAAATAGCATTAAGGTTGGCAAGCCGACAATTCCAAACTCCACGTTGAAAATTTTGTAATAAGATAATACACCCAGAGAAATAAAACCCCTGTGTGGAGCCAAAGTCGTCTCTCGTTTTTATTTATAATTATATGGTCAACGCTGTAAAATGACTAGAACGAGTGCGCATTGATATGGAATGTAATAAGCGTGTAACTTTAATCAATCTATGGTTCTTGAAATGCTTTCGTATTGCAAAAGGATTTACCATTTATTGATGAATTGTAAGCGAAGTAAGAGAAAGAATAAACAAAGCGAAAACTTCTGAAAAGTCAAACTATTCTTTAAACAATCAAAGAAAACATAAAATTCTTGTGAGTCAGAGCATGGTGGAGCTGAGCATACCCCAGCACCAGGAAATGGGCAAAAGTCCTCACAACTCTTAACAATATAAGTTTTCGATGCAGCATTCTGTGACTCACACTCAAACTTTTTACACTAACAGAATCGGATGTATATTGATCACACATTAACAGAATCGAACTCTAATATTTCACTCTTGTTCATTCGATGCGTTGCAATTTATTGAAAGTAACTCTATACTCTCTCCATTGTTCACACATTGTACTTTTTTTATCAACCATGTAAACCAGCTAACAGTTTTTCGCGAGAAATCAAATATGAAATTCTTCTTTCGTGTAACTTCAACGTGTTTCGTTTTATTTTATGAATTGAATTTCAAAGTATTGGTAAAAAGAAAATAGAGACAAATTCGCAACTTGTTACCTTTGTTTAAATACTTAAAATACGCCTCGAAAAAATCGATCAAATTCAATTCAGGCTCCGACCAAATAAGGGCCGTTTCACTGGCTTTACGTAATCGCTTCAAATTCTTTTTCTGCAAATTCATTCACTCATTACTTTTTGCCTGACAATTTATACGAATATAAAAACGATAGAAAAGCGGGACATAACTCTGTCTCTCTACATGCATTGAAGTATTAAAAGTAAGCAAGGCAACCTGCGTATGTGCACACAAAAAGAAAAGCGCCATCGTTGCCAAACAAATTCCCAAGATCATTTACGAAGAGATTAAAGGGTAGGGATTCCAAAACGCTTGCGATAGACCCGACATAGTCCCAGTTAGGCAAGAGTTAGAGTCGTTCACAGAAACATACGTACCCAAAAATATACGACAATATAAGCTTACAAGCACTCCGAGAAAAGTTCAATTTCTGATACAATTTGTTAATAAGCTTAGTGTATGGGACTCGGTCAAATGCTTCTGTTAGATACAGAGCGATAAGAACACAGCTCCTAGGCACATTGATGTTATCCCTATTCTTTTTTGAAATTTTTAATTTAAATATGCTTTTGTTGTGCACAACATACCATGCCAAAGTTTTAAAATTTTTCATTTTTATTAATTACAATTTTGCTGCTGTTATAATTATATAACAAATTATGGATTTTTAATGTATTTATTATACAACACCATCAGTCTTTATTATATAAACATTTAAAATGGTCGTTTTAGACATTTAAAAAATTTATTTTATAAACTAATTGGTTTCTTTTCATTTTCACATGTAAAAAAGATTCGTTTCTTTCAAAATTGCTAAATTATCGAAAAACAAATAGAAAGCTGATTGCGGGAAGAAATTTAAAGCTCTAATTTAATTATAAATATATATATATATGTATATACATACATTTAGACGAACAAATTGTAATAATGCGCAGGTAAAGGGTAAAATAAAAGGTGAGAAATTTTGTATTTTTTGCCTTAGACCAAATTTTGAAAACCCATCACCTACCTCGTCACGTTTGAAATCCTTTCTTTCGGCGTTTCTCATCGTACTATTCAATCTAGGAATGACAAACACATAACGGGCACTACAAAATTATGAAATTCTCAGTTTAATATGGAAGCATTTGTTAGAAATTAATTTCGTATTCGGAGAATCGGAATATATATAGTACATTTGTAGTCATCAGGCAGCCATGCGAATAATTAACCAGTTTACGTAGTGAAAAAAGTAAATTATTTTGTGTTATTTTATATACGTCAGAGTCCGTCCATCCATCCGATATTTTTGGATATCCTCATAAAATTTTATCGTTATGAATGTGTGCTTGCCATAATAATATATAATAATAATGTATTCGAGAATGTGTGTACGTGATTTCAAGTCAAGTAATTTCATTACAACCTAATTTTATATAACCACATACTTCGTCATCGTCAAATTTTTGCGATGCAATTTACATTGCACACTTTCCAAAGATGTCGACGAAATAACTGAAGTCCTAGTCTCTGCAACTTTCATTTTTATATCCAAAGTTCAGATCGTCTGAATTAATGTAACACACAAATAATATATCCTATCTCTAACTCAGTTAGAGAACGTCTCTCTCTTTAAAAGATACAGTTAGCATTTTCATAACTTTTTCAAAACTTTCCTGTCTCCTCTGATAAGTGGTGATGGTGATGGATTTTAAGAAAGAGAGAAAAACATTAACTATGCACACATAATGTGAAATATGTTTGTTTTCAACTGATTTTTTCATTTGTTTTCATTTTTGTTTTGTTTCCTTTTACAAATTTTCTTATAATTTTTAATGAGCTTATTAAACATTTTTATAAATATTTTTCTTGTTATTTAAGAACTTAGTTAACATTATAGACTAAAATATTACATAATTACTAAAAAAATTAACAATTTTAACAGCGTGCAGGGAAAAATAATTTTATCTTTAAAGATTTAAACAATTGACGAACAAAGAGGGGACGTGCTATATAAAGTCACTAAATGTGATGAAAAGCGAAAAATATTAAAAGAAATCATATATATTTATATATATATATCGGAACTATGCAGCTTGAGAATAAGAAAAATTGACAAAAGAATTAGAGAAAAACCTTTGCACCGTCGAAGTAATAGCAGTTTTTAAAAATAAATTAACGGATTTAAAGAATATATATATAAATCGATTAAGATAAAAGATTTTCGAAAAATATTACTTGATTAATTTAGAAGCGGTTTAACTAATGCTCTTAATCAGTTAATTGCTTGCGACGAATGTACATGTTATGATTCGTCCATCCGGCCTTGTCGGACTTCCTCATAAAATTTTATTATATGAATGTGTATTTGCCATAACAATTTATTTTAGAAAATATTTTTGTCAGTTTGTCAAGTTATTTCACTACAATCCAATTTCATAGTACATACATATTCTGTCTTAGACGAGTATATGAATATACCGCTAAAGATGTGCACACAGAATTAACTGATCAGGAGGACATATTTCAAATATAACTGTGTTATTGACTGCATCGACTCGGCTTTCCTTCCGAAGAATTATTACAAATTGTTTTTAGTGCGAATAAAAAGTTTTCTGGTAAATTTTATATTCTCCCGAGCAATAAGCGTTCAAATGGCAAAAAAAGGATGTAATTATATGTGTTATTGAGCTTGAATATGGTAAAAAATTCGGATAATCGAAGTGTAAATGGAAAAGATCAAAAATATACGATCTTAAATAAAAAGGTGGACAAAAAAAAAATGAAGGCAGTGTAGGACAGAATCAAAACTGCATTTGATTCTTCAATGTTCTATTATTTTCCAACGGCAACGGCAAAGCCGAATAAAATATTCTGCGCTTGAATTGAGACTATTTTTACCCACTCACGCTGTCTATATACTAATATCATAATGTACTAAAAAATATTTATTAATTACTTAAACCTAAATCGGAAGAAAGCAAAGTTTACCTATTATAAAATAAGAACTATTTGCATTTACGTAAAAACCTACAAAAAATAAAAAAAAATAAAAATCTCTATTCCGGTGCTTACTTACTTTCCTTTCCTTTCTTAAATTATATCTAATTAGGGATGACGCTATTTCTAATATATATATCATCACTGTTCGCCCCCAAGTGATTAGTGATGATGATAATGATGGCCAAATCTGGTCAACGAAATTTTATAAATTTAACTACGCGAATCATTACTTTCGCTAAAACTTTGCTCGCTGGATTCTCGTCGGCTGCCTATTGGTTTAGGTTTGTATTCCGTAATAAATACCTGTAGGAAGTAATTAGATGAATTGTTGAAGTTTTTAAATAAATAAATAAATAAATTTAAATCTTTGCTTAACTTTGCTTAATTTTGACATGGTTAACAATGGTTAACTATGGTTAACAAAGATTAACAATGGTTAACAATCGTTAACAATAGTTAACAATGGTTAACTTCGATATGCTTGATGAAACAACAAAATAAATGGATAGAAGAATGACAGAATTTATAGAAGAAATATAGATATGTACCGTTACGGAATTAACGGTAACCTCTCGAGTTTGGGCTGTGGAACGATCGACATTTTTTAAACGAGCTGGATATTTTTTATGTTTATGTTTATCATGACCGGAACTGCTGTGACGAGACCCTGACGCTGATTTATTATTTCCGTTGGGCATGGTACCAGATGCACCGGGTAATGTGGCAGCCTGTTGGGCGACAAGTGCTGAATTAAGGCGTGGCTTGCGTGTGGAAGTACCTAAAGCATATGATAACAAACTTTATTCTCTTTACTTCGTAAATTGTTAAGAATTATGATAAAAAGAATTCACGTTTTGATTACAATCACAATTTAAAAGAAGGTAATGGATTTTTATTAAAAGTTGCATCAACTAGTAGAACGTTTTAGTAATTAAATTATGTGACGTAAACACAAATCAAATCGAAATATCTTTCTTATCAAATACTTGCAACGGGAACTTGCTAGGTTTGCGGTATTTATTTACCTTTACGTACGTCACACATACGACATTTAAATGCTTCGGCCGTGTTCCTGTAAGTGCACACGCTGCAATCCCAGAAATTTTCCTCAATGACTTTCGATTGTCGCTTTCTTCTCACTGGCGATTTCTTGTGATCCATACTAATTCCTATATGGCTTAATAGAAAGTAGCTATGGTTCTTCTTGGCTTCTTATTGTTATTATAGGCGTTGTCAATTTTCTTTTCTAATTTTTTTTTCTTCACTCAACGGCAGTAGCAGACTTTGCAATTCATACGATACAGTTTATTTTAGAGTTGCGTATAAATCGCAGCTCCTCTATTTAGAGCCTTACTCGCTAAGGCTTTTAAAATATTTTCACTCAATTTTTTCACAATATTTGTGCTGCTTCTAAAAAAAGAAAAAATTAAAAATAAATGAACTTCCACAACATAAAACCAGATAGCGAAAGCGTTGCCAGCACCAAAACGTTTTTTTTTCTCAATAATGACGATAAAAAATATTTTTTAACATATTTTTGTGAAACGGGAATATGGGATTTTTTTTTGAATAAAACAGGTTTGTCATTCTCATAAATATAATTGATGTAACGCTGAGTAACTTAATAACGCGTTTTACTTTTACGAATCGTATCTATAGTTTTAAGCAATATATTATATAAAATGTATATCTCTACGAACTTTACTTTCATAAAACTTGGCCAATGCAGATATAATTAAAAGCTTCTTGAATTCGTTTAGAGTCGTTTGCGAACAACTACTTAATCTCAATAACGAATTTCTTAAATTTTATCAAATCAATTCTTCTTAATATGCATTCTTTATCAATGGCGTATCTAAATTAAATTCTAAGCTTCATTTCTTCATGTGATTCGAAAATTTGTGAAATATTATCGTTTGCTAAGCTTTTGCATGTTTTCAGGGGCTTAGGAATTAACTAACTCGCAAATTGGGTGTGACCCTATGCTAGATGTGTAGATGCTGTTTTTTGTTGTCCTTGTTTTTCTTCGTTTTTTTTCTTTAGTCTAATAATACTTAGCATAAGATATATTTTATAATCTTAACAGCTCTTGGGTTTTTTTTTGGAGAATCTACAAGAGCGCCGTAAGTAATCTCGATGACACGAAGAGGCTCGGAAAGTCTCGTAGATAGAGAGATTGCTTGGTTCGCTTTTAGACTTTTACGAATGTTCTCGGCTTTCAATTTTTGGTAATGTTTTTGATTCGTTTTTATCATTGTTTAGTGTGGTCTCTCACTTTCTTTTCCGGAATCCAATATGATCAAAGAAGTAGCTTTAGCTTACTTAAAAAAAAAAAAGAATCAAAATGATAGAGAGTTCGACTTCAGAAGTAACATTAGCATACGTTTTAAAACCGAGAGGAACTGCTTGCCGTGACATGAAATTAAACGAATTTCGACTTGATGTAGTTTAGGAACGAAGATTTCGCCCTTCTTTAATGCGAGGAGTAGTTTTCACAAAATTCTCTCTGACCCCAGTAGATACCTGAAGACAATTTTACTCATTTTCTTAACCTGACTTTCTTGCGGAACCACAAAATTAAGGGAGCGCGCTCTACCTACGAGATGTGTACTTCTAATAATAATTTGAACGAAATTTATATTTGAAGTTTCGCTTGCTATTATTTTCTTTGACGTCGCAAATTTTATATTATTATTATTATTATTATTATAATTTTAGACTAATGAAATAAATTCTTAGACTAAAAAAAAAAGACATTGAGCACTAGCAACACAGGCTATCGGCTCTAATTTAAATAAATGGATATTAGATAATGAACTTAGTATGAGTATTAAAAAAGTAATATATAGAATAGATATTCGATTCTGAAGCCGATTTTAGAATGTCCAAAGGGTTAATCGTTCCAAATGCAATATTTCTAGCCAAGGAAAAGTTAAGGCAATCACAGAGAATGTGCTTTATAGTGAGAGTTTGTCCACAACTGCAGATTGGGGAGGAAGACTTCTTCAAGATTCATTGGTGAGTTGCAATTGTATGACCAAGGCGAATTCTAAAAAATGTTTGGATCTTGGTTTTCTCAACATTTGTTGGATATAAAGGCGGAGTTAATTAAAGGTTCATGGAAGAGTAGTGTAGAAGATGGTATTGTAAATTTCCTTCTGCTATTTTCTCTTTAACTTTTCTTCCAATGTATCTTTGAACATCCAACTTTTCCATGACATCATCCATAATTAGAGGAGCAGAAGCAGCATCCTTTGCCGCTTGACCAGCTTGCTCATTTCCCAATAAACCGATGTGACTTGGTACCCATAACATTTTAATTTTTCCTTCGGGTGTTGTAATTATATTCCTTAATTTGTTGATGGTGCTCCATCTCGAAGTCGAAGGATTCCGAATAGCTTGTAATACAGACAAACTGTCGCTAACAATGACGGTTTTGAGTTGGTTTTTATGGGCAAGTTTCGCAGAGTGAAGGATAGCTCTGGCTTCGGTTGTGAAAGTCGAAATACTTTCGTTAAATATGTGTTTGAGAAGAACTCGTCATGTAGCATCAACCACGGCACAAGCAGGAAGCAGACCAGAAGATTTTGAGCCGTCTTTGAATAAAAGATTCCAACCAGTACTTTCCAATATTTAGGTTTTTTCAGCTATTAGATTCCTGAAGACGTAATTTGGAGTATTTTTTTTCTTGTGCAAAGACAGCGAAATGTCAAAAGAGCAGTCTTTCAAAATCCATGGAGGTTTAACACCAAAAGAGCGGAAAATTTTTAAGGGAATATTTAATTCCTTTGCGACGTACAAACAATGGTCAATTGCAGACGGTGACTTTGGAATTTTCTTCGCAATAATAATCTTTCTCGAGTCATCACCGAGAATAAATTTGTTTGAATTAAAAAGCTTGGGGACTGTTTTAGCTTTTAACTCATACAGTCTATTTTCTAAAGTTGGGAGACCAGTTTCGATTATAATATTATTTATGCATAACAACTTGCTCTGACTGCTTGGTGGTAGACCGGTTTAAGGATGTTGATATTAGATTTGCAGCTATTGCCATAAATTATCAAAGCATAGTCAATCTTGCTTAACACAAGCATTTTGGTAAGATAAGCAATAGTGTTAATATGCGCATGGCTTCTCCAAGCAACATACTGTATGAAATTCACCCTTATTAAAATAGAGTTTTTTAACCGCAGACAGTGTGCTTTCCAACGATATTTGTTGGCCAAAGTGAGCCCGAGAATATGCAGTGTCGGCACATTTAGTACTGGTAAGTCATTAATATGCATCAGTAGATTTCCTGCATCGCACATTTGCTTTCGACAAATGTGCATTTTTTTTGATTTTTATATAGAAATTTTAGCCCCCGACGAGTTTGCCCATGCGGAGATCTCTCGTCCAATAGATTCGAGGATGTTGATTGCCTTCGTGCTATCTTTTTCTTTTGTAAAAATGTATACATCGTCTGCGTAGAGGCAATGTTCCAATCTTGGTACACGACAAAGAATTTTGCTAATTTCGTTGAAGGTGATTTGGAAAAGCGTGACAGAAAGAGGAGATCCTTGCGGAATGCCATTCATTAGTGGAAAGGAATCAGAGACATGATTGTTGATTCTAATTTTAAACCGCCGATGCGACATGAATGATTTGATGTAGTTGAAAAATTTGGGTCCAACATTCCCTGATTTCAAGAGTCTTAAAATAACATGAAGACTAACTCTGTCAAATGCTTTTTCGAAATCAATTGAAAGAATTGTTACATGGTTTCGTTCGGAAATTGCTTTCCTTGTAAAATAATAAATATATAACAGAGCGTCGATGCACCCTCTACCCCGCTTGAAACCAACTTGTTGCTTTGTTATCAGATTCTTGGACTCAAGAAACCAAAATAATCTAGATGCCAAAATCCATTTTCCAATACCTTTGAGAGACAAGATAAAAAAGAGATTGGCCGATGCAATGGAAGCATTTTTTGACTTTGGAATTGGAACAACTCTAGCCAGTTTCCACATGTAGGGTATATGGCCAGTCAAAAATACCGTATTATATAGGTCCAGTAATTTCTTTTTACTAGACTTAGACATAGCGCTGATCATTTGGTATGAGATGCGGTCTAGACCAGGTGTCCTAAGGTGGATATACAATATTCCAGGAACATGGCACATCTATCAATACAAATTTTATAAATAGTGGCGTATGTATCGAACGGCCGGAAAAAACTTTTGTCTGTTTCTTATGATTTTTCACTATGAAATAAAATATTTTATTTTATTTAAGGGATAAACTTTATTAACTTATATATTGGCTAATTAGTTCAATAACAAGTTGCGACTTTTCAGTTAATTTCATTACACCCGCCTCATTAAATTCAAATTTTCTATATATGAATTTACACTGCCATCAATTGCAAGATTTGCGAAATTCTTTATTTCGCAGAAAACGAAAGATTTGGTAATCTGATGATGCAATGCTGGACCTGGATCTGATAGCACCTCCCAGTCAAGTTCTAATAATTTTTGGCGAGTCATGAAAAATGTATGAGGCCTTGCACCGTCTTGATGAAAAAGTATATTTTTTCGGTTGACTAAGCCTGGACGTTTCCTCTGCAATGCTTCACTTAATTTGGTTGGTTGTCTACAGTACACTTCGAAAGTAATTGTGTTGTTAAGCGGCAGCAGTTCATAATACTTAATTTATTTATAACGTAACCCCGCATACTGACAGCTAAATATTTTTCCCTGATCCATTAAGTAACATCAGTTACATTTCTTTTCAGAAATGGATCGTTTCGGCTCCATTTTAACAGCATATCGCAGACGTTAATGCGGCGTATTAAACGAATTTTTTTTAAATCATGTGGAACTCATTTATCCAGCTTTTTTACCAGTCAATCTCACTAATCGTTATTTATCGATCAGCTTCGACCATAATCTTTACTTACTCGTCAGCAATGATGTTTCGTTTAGCAGAATCCGGTAAAGCTTTCACGAAATTTCGCAAACCGGTTTTGGCAGTGCGTTCTGCTACAGCATTAGTTCCATGCAAAGCGCATATTTCTTTGTGTGCTTCTGCAGCTCTTTTCCCTTTCTTGGCATAAGTAAAAGATGTCTTACATGCTCATTTTGATCTTCCACGTCGACACACAGCCGATCGATCGCTTTAAAAGCTTTTTACAAAATCAACTTAAGCCCTCTTCTCTACATAAGCGTATATACTTTTAACCATAATTATCTCTCTAGTTACCTGAAAAAAGTTATTTTGACCTGGTGTCGGGAAAACCACTAGAAGTTTCCGGACTACCTAACATTACTTTGGGGAAAAAGAAATCCAATATTTTTATATGAAATTCAAGACTTTATTTAACATGCTTCGGATTGTCTGATTTGGGTCAAATATGCACCGTTTTGTTGTATGATTTGTTGCCATTTTAAAGGTAACTTCAAAATGCCTCTCTCATAGTA